TTTCATGACATATGAGAAATCAAAATTGAAAATTTAGGATAGAACGAGAATTTCAAAAAACGACATTCCGTTCTGAGAATGAGGAATTTTTGAAAAAGAGCTCAGGTTCAAGATAAATCAATTTTTAAATAGCATATCTATTGATCAGTAGACTTGGATTCTTTTATTTTTGAGCTAATTTCTATTGCGTTTTTAAATTGTTATCGAAGTAATAGTCTTTGTTCTTTTACACATTTCTTACCGGAACAAGAACAACTTATAGGAGAATGGGAGGTTGCTATGTCATAAATATCTTAACCTTACTTGAAACAAAATGTTACTGAGGGAAAGCTCATATACGGGAGATAAAGTTCTGAGGAGAAAAGCATCATTGAACCATGATTGTATTCAAGTATTGTTGATCTAGTTGTAGCCATGAAGAAAAAAACTCGAGATTGTCTAGGTGCCCAAGCATTTGGATATAACGGAATATATGTATCAGGAGATAAAATTACACAAAAGAGAGCCGTTCATTTACCTGAGGATCAATCTGTGTTAATAACCCAAAATTCTAATTATAGTCACAGTATTGGTTGTAACTTAGAGAAAAATCAAACCGAGATAATAATAAGTGGAAAACGACCGCATCTTCCTCAGTATTCTTACAACATTATAAAAAAAGATTATCCGATGATATATAGTGATATTATAGAATTGAACATAGTCGGTGATATAAAAGCAACTTTAATGCGTTGTAATCCATTCACCTCCAAAAAAATGGGATTTATAAATCCTTTACAATTTTACAGGTTAAAAACCCTAGAAAACTCTTTCCAAAGCATCAAGATTGAACTATGAGATACTACAGGTGAAAACAATCCTTGTGTATCCGAAGGAATTACACAAATTGTTCTCTTGTCGCAAGGTTTCGAATAAAAATTTTAGAATAAAAATTTTTGAATCATATCAAAAGGGTTGCTAGAATTTGAGGTTAATTTCCTATTTTCAAGGTCATGCAAGACAGCGTTGAAGAGGTTTTGGTGCTCTTGCCCAAACGCTTGGGAGAATTCCACAAAAAAATCAATAAAAAATGGAGCAAGTTTATTTGAAATCGCCACTCCAGAGATTGGGGCGATTGATAGTGGACGCAAAAAAATTCAAAAAAATTGCAAAAGATGTGAGAAAAAAAACAATCTGGAAACATTTGGGAGTTGGAAAAAATCCAAACATAGAACGAGCAAGATCAGATAACTTTTTTTGAAAAGTAGGTCAAAAAACAGTCGCACTCGCAAAGACAATTTTAACAATATCAATTGAGTTTATTTCAAAGTTTCCATTTTCGGTTCGGGGCTTCAACAAAAGTTTTCCTGGTGATTTTTGAGGAGTCCACGTTTTGAAAACAATTATTTCAACTTACGCGCAAGAAGTAATTCTCCCCAGTACTTCTCTAGATGAAAGCAATACTAAATTTGATTTGGAATTCGATTGTACACTCTACTTGGATATGCATGATACCCATTTTACTTTAAAGCTTCAATTTTTCAAGGAAAGGTTGTTTGAAGCTTTTTTAAAAAAAAGTCAGAACTCAAAGTAAAATCAGAAGTTGTTTCAGATGAGGAACCAAAACCCTACATATCTTAAGTAACATTGTGCAAAATTCTCAAGTCTCTTTGTAGTTTATTTTAATAATACAATGGTTTACAACGCCAATGGATTATAGCGTCATAAAGCCCCAACACCGATTAAATTTCGTCGGCAGTGAGCTATAAAGGAATACTTGCTTGCCTAGAGCTCACTTGCTTGCCTATACTTGCTTAGTTTTGAAGGACATCCTGAAGCACTTGATGTGCATCCGTTCACTGATAGAGCAAATTCGTTAGAAACAGGGATATTATTTCACTCTATGCGAAGCTCGCCCTTGATTTGTTTATTTGCAAAAAAATAAATCCACCAAATACCAAAGTTCAAATTAAAGTAATTCGTGCTAGGTCTAGATTTACATGCTGTCTGAAAATCCAAAGGTTAGTCTGAATATTGGTGACTGTTCATTGTTTACTAGAAGAACATTAGTAGCTGAACCTGCTAATGATCAATACTTGCAATGGAATCTAGAAAGAGAACCTGCTCATTACAACTAAATGGAAACTTTAGCAAGAACTTTTATCAATCGATCTCGACAAAACCAAATTATACATGACAATATAATTGATAACGCTCCAATGAAAAAAAAAACAGTTGCAGTAAATACAAACTCAGCTGTTACCGGATTTTTTCATGAAAATCTTTTTTACTATCAACAATTTCTTTTGAGAGAGCTTATAATGATTCGCAATAATTGCATTGATGCGCAAATTCGTTAGAAACAGGGATATTATTTCACTATATGCGAAGCTCGCCCTTGATTTGTTTATTTGCAAAAAAAAAATAATACCACCAAATACCAAAGTTCAAATTAAAGTAATTCGTGCTAGGTCTAGATTTACATGCTGTCTGAAAATCCAAAGGTTAGTCTGAATATTGTTGACTGTTCATTGTTTACTAGAAGAACATTAGTAGCTGAACCTGCTAATGATCAATATTTGCAATGGAATCTAGAAAGAGAACCTGCTCATTACAACTAAATGGAAACTCTAGCAAGAACTTTTATCAATCGATCTCGACAAAACCAAATTATACATGACAATATAATTGATAACGCTCCAATGAAAAGAAAAACAGTTGCAGTAAATACAAATTCAGCTGTTACCGGATTTTTTCATGAAAATCTTTTTTACTATCAACAATTTCTTTTGAGAGAGCTTATAATGATTCGCAATTGCATTGATGCGCAAATTCGTTAGAAACAGGGATATTATTTCACTCTATGCGAAGCTCGCCCTTGATTTGTTTATTTGCAAAAAAATAAATCCACCAAATACCAAAGTTCAAATTAAAGTAATTCGTGCTAGGTCTAGATTTACATGCTGTCTGAAAATCCAAAGGTTAGTCTGAATATTGGTGACTGTTCATTGTTTACTAGAAGAACATTAGTAGCTGAACCTGCTAATGGTCAATACTTGCAATGGAATCTAGAAAGAGAACCTGCTCATTACAACTAAATGGAAACTTTAGCAAGAACTTTTATCAATCGATCTCGACAAAACTAAATTATACATGACAATATAACTGATAGCGCTCCAATGAAAAGAAAAACAGTTGCAGTAAATACAAATTCAGCTGTTAACGGATTTTTTCATGAAAATCTTTTTTACTATCAACAATTTCTTTTGAGAGAGCTTATAATGATTCGCAATTGCATTGATGCGCAATTGTTTCCTTAGACACAAGTTCTTCTTGTCACCCCTTTGTTAAAACAATGAAAGCAAGGCAGTTTCACGAAAATTATCCCAGCTCTTCCTATGGAAAGTTTTCAAAGTCACTATTTTCTAGTTTTTGCTTGGCTTCACGTCAGGATGCAGCTGAACAGTTGCATCATCCAGATCTTAGTGAAAAAAGCTTAAGACTAGAAATATTTTTCCAATTTCTCTTGGAGCAAGTGCAAGTAACGGAAGTGATAGTCTTGGGAGAAAGGCAATCAAATGTTCAAATTGACAAAATCGTAACAGTGGCTAAAAATCTTAATTTTTTTTGAGTTTTCAGTTTCCTATAAAAAAACTTGTAATTTTCTGAAACTTGTCATTGTCATTCCCTTCGCTCAATCTATTTTGTTGTTCTTCAGACCTAAATCTCCTGCAAAAGTAGACAAAAAATGGTGCATACTTAAAAACCTGAGAAATTGCTACAAATTAGACTGTAAAGAGACCTGTGTATGGGACTTTATTGATTAAGTACCTAAATGCATGTAATCCATCTCACTTTCTTATCTTTTATTTTATCTTCTATTTTATACTATCAAACGATCCATTACTTTTTTTAGATGTAAATCAGCTAACGAGTGAAAAATGGAGAATTTTTTACTGGTACAGGTTTTTCAAAGAAATTCCGAGCTCAGGTTTAAGTACATGGGATCTTACCCATCTGATAAAGAACCTCAACTATTCAAACACTCTTTTCCAATCATCAACTCAACTCCATCATCTTTGCTGATCATCAATGATTGAGGAAAACACTGGATCATAATTGCTCAAGGATCACAAAACTTACTACTTTGCTATCTTTGGGTGCAAAATTATCAATTTATTCTTCTCTATTAAAAAATATTGGCGGATGATTCCCAGAAAACTACAAAAAACTGGATTCAACGCAATTTCTTCAACTTTTCTTTTTTTTTCAAATTCTATAAGAGAAATTTGAATAATATTCATGGTGTGCATGTTTTGAATTTTATAAATAATTTTATGTAAATATGTATTTTATTATTTTTTTATCTGTAAGTGTAACTTATTGCAGTTAATTTACTATACGATGCAGTGATTTATACACTCTCTTTTTAATTTTTTTCCGAAGTTTCAGCAGGTTTCAGCTAGGTTGCGCATAGGAATATCATATACAACAAGTCATAGCTTGAATTAGATCGAATATTATCGTATTTTGAAGGTGTTTAGAAAAAAAATCAACTTTTTGATTGAAAATCTCAATTTTTGAGCAAAAACTCTAAGCATTGACTTAGCTTGAGCCAAAAAACATCATATAATACCTTCATTCTACAATCTAATCGTAATAGACTATTGATATTTATCAATTAGATAACGCGCGCCGAGATTTTTGCTAAAGAACTTGAGATTTACAAACATAAACCAAAAAAATACCATTTTTCATACCATTCTCTTACCATTACATAAACCCTGAAATCTTACCATTTCATTCCACTATCTTGATACACTGTAGATTCTCCACCCTCTACCCAATGTTAAAACATATTATGGGAGACCGGAAATCTATAACGAATGTTAACACATGGGGTCTCCCTTGCATCCCCCCACTTCAGCCGCAACACCTACTACTATAATTAGTCACAATGCCAAAGTTAAATAGAAAAGAGCCGTGTCTGCTGTGTGATTTTGGCCATCTCTCTTGCTTGCCTTAAACACGTGGTCTCCGACACCCACGAAGTCGTAGTTGATCAGGTCTATCAAGAACACTGCCACCCAGATGAGCACGAGGGACAGAATGGTCCCCTTCACCCCCCAGAAGCGGGCATAGAGGTGGTTGTGGCAGATGAAGATGTACCTAAACATGATGCTTCCGGCTCTTCCCCAACCCACCTGCAAAATTTTACAAGAATAATTTTTGTTCACGTTGCATATGGACTAAGTAGGCTATGACAAACATTTTGGTCTCTATTGTTAACCTTGTAAAACCACTCGTTATACCATAAAGTTGATGCTCGTGTGAGGTGGGGAGGAAGGCGTTCTTCTCTCAAAATAATTATATTTTGGCGCCTTAAAAAAGTTTTAGGGTGAGTCAGCCAAAAACAGATGTCTCAAAATAGTGCAAAGGGGGACCCTTTGGGTCGGCAGGTGGTCAAATCCATGAGGAGAAGGGGGTCGCCTCCCCACTAAATCCGCTACTGCAAATAATCAGAACAAAAAGGAAAAATATAAAAAATATATTCTCACCTTAAGTGCGGAAACTTTTTTAAAAAAATAGCAAAATCACTAAAAAAAACTAAAAGAACTATTACATGAAGTAGAGGAACTACTTTTTACACGTAAGGCGAAACCCCCTTCCCCCGCCCCCTGCCACTCAAAGGGCTCCCCTTTTTTAAATATTTTACGTCATTCATTTTCGATCGACCAGCCCGTAAGAATTTTTGAAGAGTCAATTTCGACAAAGAAATTTCGAACAAAAATCAAAAAACGTTCTCCTGCCCCTTAAAGAAACACAAGATTGTTTCCTGAAAACAAAACATGTCAAAACGCACAAAAAAGAAGAAATAGGCTGTTAAACAGAAACCATGCTCATGTTAAAATCCTCCCAAACCCAGGTTACGACCCTTGAACCCACAATTTGAATTTGGATCGAAATGGTTTAACACTGTAAAATATTCAGCTCTGTGTCTAAATTTTGCAGGCAAACAAAACAAGGCTGTTTTTATCAGATCATAGCTTTGAATGTTACGACTCCGGTTTAATTGATCTGATGTAGTTTATGACCCAAAAAATTTCAAAAAATCAGACTTACTCACAACTGTTTATGTAATATATAAGTCCTAATAGTCCTTGAATGTTTTGACAGCCCTTTATTGTCGATCAAAATTTTTAGTTTAAAAAGAATATTTACAAAATATTTGAAAATGAAAAAACTTGATATTTTTTTTAAATATTCCTTTCTCAGAATCACCCTCCCAAACGCTATATGAATGATATTTTTTTCCAAAGGAATAAACGTTTTGTAAATGGTAACAAATGAAAAAGACAAAGTTGCTTGCTTCAGTTCAATTCCACGTTTAATCCAATTGTGTGCTATAGAAATTAATCACAGCTGAAGTTTTTTTCATATTTGTGCTCCAAACAACAAGCAAGTATTTTTCAAATTGCTAAACAGAAAATTAACATAACTTTTTAGCTGGAAAGACTGAAATTGACTAAATGAAAAACTACTTTTAGCATAAGTTTTCCGCGCTTTATTGAAAGTCGAAACAAAAACGGTCGCAGTCAAAAAAAATTTTGAAAGTTTTTGATATTTTGTTCAAAAATTCGATTTTGTTCGTAAAAAAATTCGGTTCAGATGAGAAACAACTAAATGAAAAATTGAATAAAAAAGAAAAGTATTAGTGACATTACGTCGAAATCCGTGTTATTTCAATAGTCAGATTTGACTATTAGTGTACATGGATTCCGAATTCAAATGATATAACATGCACATGCCATGGATTCCGCGTTCAAATACTCGCATGGCGGCACGAACAGGCATATACGCAAAATCCCGGAATCCGGGACAATCAATTAAACCACCGAAAATTGGCAAAATCCCGGAATCCATGGTATAGCGAACAATTACTTGAATTCGGAATCCAGGACATGGTCCCGGAATCCGAGCCATTTTTACTCAACCACTAAACAAATAGTTGCTAAACAAATAGTTGATAAATTCAATACAGTATAACCATGGAATCCATGACGCTGGAATCCAGTGAGAAAAATGGCACGGAATCCAAAATTTTTATATTTTTGAATTAATCTGGCAGAAGTTTACAGTTTTTAAGCAATTTTATTTTGTTTATATTTTTGAATTAATCTGGCAGAAGTTTACAGTTTTTAAGCAATTTTATTTTCTTTTTTGTTTAGTTTGTCCTACAAGTTATTATAATTGCAACTATTAACATACGTGCTAAAATACTGTATTCCGATGAAAAAAGTTGTGGGTACAATCGTTTGATCAAACTTAGTTAACGAGCGTGCCGAAATACTGTACATGTACTTCGATGAAAAAAGTTGTGGGTGCAAATGTTTGAACTACTACTAGTAGTAACTACACGTATGTAACATACAGTATAAAGAACATAAAATATATGGAACTTCCATTGAATGAGTGTAACACAACTTGAAAAGTTTCTAAGGTAAAAAAGCTGAGCTTGTGAACTTCACATGTTGAACATGTATCGAGCAACTTTATCGCCATAATCGTATCGTAGTTGTTCGAAAGGCTCAATGTTTCTTCGGGCTTTGAATACAGCTAATCGTTTTGGCGGATCGAAGGCATTAAGAACAACTTCTATGATCTTCATATTCGCATCCAAATTCTTCTTGGAGTTTAGCGTGCTGTGATTAGCCAGTCGACCAAGACAGCGGTTGGTTGGATGCTCAACACACACTTCTGAAGAAGCATCGATGAAACGCTTCACAGGCGCGCCAATTTCCAGCACAAATTCAGTCGGAACAGAACGGTTCCTTATCAAATCTTGATATGTTTTATCTGTCACGGCAACCCCATGGTAGTCCATGATAATATCATCCTTCTGGAAGGCCTGTGTGCTGACAACGCCTGAATCAGAAAATGTTCAACATTTAAAGTTTACTCTATATTATTTAACACTGTTACATGGCATTTTTGAATGGAATTCAAAAAACTGTATTGGTTGAAAACTTTATGACTTTTTAAAACTTTAAACTATAACGTTTGAATCACAAAAGAAATTTTTTTGAAAAAGAAACTTTTGAAAGTTTTGGAAACTTGTCGTCAACGTTTTCAAGAAACGCAAGATTACCTCTTCCGAAGGTAGGGAAAACAACATCACAAATGCCAACCCATTCTTGCGTATCACATCTGTGGGCCAGAAGCGTTTGTGCTTCCAATGAAAGAAAGTTTCCAGTGCCTTTATAACTAATAACGCTGGAATCAGAAAGCGGCTTTTGTTGTCGCTTGCTTTTCTCTTTCTGCAGCATGGCGATTTGGGACATGACTTTCTTTAGGTCGTGATGAGTTTCCCATTTGTTTCGCTGGAAAAAACCCGACACGCGCGTCTCCGATACAACAAAGTTTGGATACTGTTTCACAAAAGCTTGTGCTCTAATTGTCTGTCTAATGTATCTTTGTTGATCTTGTCTACATCGCACAGCTTTTTCAACATCTTTGTAGGTGTGATTGACAATCTGGAAAAACGTGAGCGTATTGTTTCATACATCTAATTGATAAATTGTGATACTGTATAAAAAAACTGTGAAGTACAAATCAGCTGAAACAGTCGAAACTTTCCGAAAGTTTCCGAGTCGAAACGTTTTTTAAATTAAAAAAATTCTTGGAAAATCAAAGTAGTACCTTCTTGTGAATTTCCTGCGTTTTGTGTTTCACCAGTTGAAATGCAGGATCTTTTGACAAAGGCATGAATTTTGCCACTTGACGATCGAGCAATGTCTTGGGTCGCTTAGCAGGCTCCATTTGAGCAGAAATCTAAACAGATCCTTCTAGAACGAATTCCCCGTTGTGTTCAAATCATATTAGGAAGTTCAACTTCCACAGACTTATAAGTTAAAAGTTGAAACGTACCATGTCAGAAACTGTGGCGGCAATTCTATTCACACGAAACTTGGTGTTTCCACTGGAGTTCACAAAAAAAAGTTCTGTTTTGACTTGGATTGGTTGCTCAGGGAAAGATCGGGTGAAAGAAATCTTTTCATCCGGGACACTCTGAGGTAAGAAATGTGGTCGAACTTCAGTGTGATAAAGTTTCAAACCCTGTACGAGCCATCGCGGCAAAATGTGATTCGAACGTTCAGTAGACACTAAACAAACAGTTTCACAATTTTGAAAAAAAGTTATACGGAAGAAATTCAAGATGACTCACTTTCACTTGGTTCAATTGAAACCGTTATACAAATTTCGTCCTCATCTGACAATGCCACAAACGCTTGTGCAACTGCATGAACAGACATGCAGCTTATGGTTTCTTCTAGCATTGATGGCACGACATAACAGTATAAGAAGGCTGTCACAAGTTGAAATAACGAAACACGTTGTTTATGGGTTAAAAAACCCGATTCTTGGAAAACATCCAAGTGCTCTTTAACAAGTGTTTCGATTTCTTGCCTCTCGCAATTTTCATTTTGGTCGTCTTTGGACGAAGCAGCTTCAAGTTGTTGAACGCGTGCAAGTTTTGCAGCTATCTAAACTCAAAACAAAAACTTTTAGTTGAACTACAAAAGTGAACAAAAACATTAGCTGAAAGTTTCCAACTCTTCATGGTTTGAGCATTAAAAATGCTTTTTGTTTCAAAACAAAAGGAATCTTACCTCGGTTTGCGAGTCATTGTTCGTTGGAATAACTCGTTTTGCCATATTCTCAGATGAAGAATCAGTCGGAGGCTCTGTACTTGAACTGCCAGCCTGAGTGGCAGTCGCTGACTGCGGCGTGAACAGAGGTATTTCCCATGACAAAGTTGTTGATGAATGCTGGTTTGAAGGAGTTGATTCTGAAGGTTGAGAAAAAAAACGACTGAGTTCTGTTCCATTGGCAGTGTAATCATCATGATGATCAGTGGGCTGGCTGGCAATTTGATTTCTATGAAAAAACGCGGGATCAAAGTGTGGTGGGTACACCATTGGCATTGGGCTAATGAAGTTTGAATACCCTTCACTTCGAGAAGATACTTGCTGCGGAGTCTCCAATGTGTGGTAAGTATTGTTATTATGATTAACATCTGTAATAATTGTACAAGGTTCAGCATAGGGCATAGGTCGGATGGGGGTTCCTAAAGGAATTTCCACAGATGGGAGCTGTGCAAAATTTTG